TAATTTAGGGATTAGAGTTTAGGGTTTAATTTATGTTTTCGTTTTTAGGGTTTAGGGTTTAATTTAGAGTTTTGGTTTTAAAGTTTAGGGTTTAACTTAGAGGTTTAGGATTTAGGATTTGGGGTTTAATTTAGGGTTTCAGGTTTAATTTAGGTTTTCATTTTTAGGGTTTAGTGTTTAATTTAGGAATTCAAGTTATTTAGGTTTTCATTTTTAGGGTTTAGGGTTTAGAATTTAGGATTTAGGGTTTAATCTAGGGGTTAGGTTTAGGGTTTAATTTATGTTTTTATTTTTAGGATTTAGGAATTAGTGTTTTGATTTAGGGTCTAGAGTTTAAGTTTTTGGCTTTAATTTAGATTTTAGGGTTTAAAGTTTATGGTTTAAGATTTCGGGTTTAGTTTATTGTGTTGATTTCGTTTTAGAGTTTAGATTTAGAGTTTAAATTTAGGGTTTTGGATTTAGGGCTCGTTTGGTTCGTGGAAAATATTTTATAGGAAGTGGAATTGGAATTTCATGGAAAAACAATTACTAAGAAGATGAATTTCATTGTTTGATTGGTGGAAAAAAAAAATTACTGAGAATACTAATTCTATTGTTTGGTTAGATTTGGAATTGTAAGGAATAATGAGTATAAAGACCTATATACCCTTACCAATGATTTTGTTTTCCTTAAATTTGAAGAATTCATTTTCCAATGGAAAATGAATTCCATGAACCAAACACTAGAAAACATTTTAATTTTAAGATTTAGGTTATAAGGTTTAAATTTTAAGGTTTAATTTAGAGTTTAGGGTTTAATTTAGGGTTTAGGGTTCAATTTAGGGTTTAAGGTTTAAGTTTTAGTTTAGTGTTAAGGGTTTAGAGTTTAATGTTTATGTTTGCATTTAGGTCTTAGGGTTTAGGATTTCAAGCAAGGAATCGCAAATAGAGAAGTATTTTTTTTTTTTAGGCAGAATAACCAAGTATAGAAAAGAAAAATAAAATAACCAAGCAAGAAAATAGATAATGGGGGCACAATCCGACTACCCTCGGCTAGAAGGAGCATAAAACAACTCCAAACCCATAGAAAAGTAAGGAGATTAATACTAGAAAAATTACTATAAATCTAACCTCACTGGGGTAAGGAAGAGCCCCCAGTTTAACCACGACAAGATTGAGTGAGATATTGTTCGATCTAGCCCACGGCGCCGCTTAATGAACAGACTCTATCCCAACTTGGAAGGTCATCGTGAAGTCTCCGATAGCGAGGTATCTAGGGGTAAAGACATAAATGTAAATTAAATACCCAAGTATTCATAGCCCACATAATTTGCGTCTTAATACGCGGTCTATTATCTAATTTTTTAAAAAAATAAAAACTAGAGGCATCTTTACCTTATTAGTAAGTATAGATGCATGTAGTTTATTATTTATTTAAATAAAATAATAACTATAGTTATATATATTAAAAATAAAATAAAAAAATCTATACGGCTAGTTTTACCTTTTTCATCTTGTCGCACTTTGTGAAGGCAAAAGTCATTAGTATCTGAAACAAAAAGATGAGAATATTAATAACAGAGTACATAGAGATACTTTTAGTCCACAATGCTATAGCATATCACAGAAAATGTTAAATTGTTTTGTTTATAAAATGCATAATTAATCAAATCACACTAAATGGCACAGACAGTTATTACCCCCTATACATACATGCTTTCCACAAAGTTATACCAGACATTTTAAACCTTTAAGGCCGTAATCCCACCAAAACCTTAATCAAATAACTCTGTAGCCCAGCCATCCAAAGAAGGAAAAAAAAAAAAAAATCAAAATTTCAGCAGTAAAGATCTTCAGCAAAAAAAAAAACATCCAATAGGGGATAGACAGGTTCCATAATATCTCCCTTGGCAATTTTCCTCATTGCCTTGTCATAGGCTTTTCAATCATAAAAAAGGATGAATTTCTCTAAACTTTACAAAGATTTCATGTGTAAAAACCAGAAATAGATGCAACTTGCTAACATACACCTATCTTTCCTTCTATATTGTATCATTTTTTTCAAATGAGAATAGGGCTTTTCGTGCGGTAGATGCGGTTTACACCATTAGGTATGCATAAATACACCACACAATGTTCGAAATGCAGCAGAATGAAATGCTACAAAATAAACCACACACCAAAAAAATGCACCACATTTAATGATGTATTTTCAAACATTGTGTGGTGCGTTTATTATGAATACCTAATGGTGTAAACCGCACCAACCGCACGGGAAGTTTTGTTCTCACAGGAACCTGACCCTATATATATATATATATATATATATATATATATATATATATATATATATATATATATATATAAAAGAAGAGGATTTGATCTATTGAAATCAAACATAAAATATGAGATTGCTATCATGTTATGATGAATATGATAGTTGCAGCCTGCAGGATTTGCAGATACCATCATAATAAAAGATTTTAATTTGAGTGGAAAAGACTTCAGCTACCACACGATTATGATGTCTGTTTCATGGATATAATATTCATGATCAGCATATGATGCAGTAATCTCAGTAGCCTGGCCTGTCTTTACTATGATGGTATGATATCTGCAAATCCTGCACCTTCAGCTTTCTCAAAATCTGACACTGGAATGGTAAGAGAAACATGAGATGAAGGAAGAACATTTATAAATGAAGAGAACTGCAATCTTGTATCTTGTTTCCCAATCCATGGTGGACAACTTTTCATCTTCAAAGAAATCATATACACAAACAAATCAAGAGGATGATTGAATTAGTATAATATGGGGTAGGAAAATATTAATGGAAATGAGGAAGAAGAAAAATGGGGGAGGAAAGTTTGATAATGAGGAAGGGTGACAAAATAGAAAGAAAATGACCATTTTCAATTCTTACCGGGATCCGGAATCTTTTGAGAAAAGGTCCCATCCTTCAATATCATGATTTGGTCGACCAGACCAGATCATGAGCGAATAGAAAATCAAAAATGTACATAGCTGTTCCAGCTGAATACTTGGAATAATTCTACCATTTCTACTAGGAGTAGCCTTTTTAGTGCTAGTTGAACGTAAAGTAATGGCTTTTGTGCAACGTCAAAATAAAAAAAAAAAAAAAAAAAAAAAAAAGTGATTGTAGATTAACAAAAAGAAGGAATGGATGAATGAGGCGGAGAAAGAGCACACAAGGAGGAAAAAAGGAGAAGATAAAAAGAGAAGAGGACAAAAAGAAAAGGTAAGTAGATTTTAAGTAGAATTAAAAGGAGAAATAGAAAGAAAATGAATTGAAGGAAAAGGGAGAAAGGAAAGGAGAAAACGCATGAATATTAAAAATAAAAGGAGGAGGGGGGGGGGGGGTGGATGAGGAGAAAAACAAAAAAAAAGAAAATGCTAAGATGAAGGGGGGAAAAGAGGACAAGGAAAATGGTAAAAGATTGATCTAGAGTGGTTGAAGAACAATGAAATAATGATGAAAGAGAACAAAGAGTATGAGAATGAGAAGGAGAAAACAATGAGAGGCGGAGAAGAAAGATAAGGGAAAGAAATTATAGAGGAAAAGAAAGGAAGATGAGATCAATGGAGGAATAGAAGAAAGAGAAAAAGAAATGGTGGATGAGGAGTTAGAAAAGAAAGGAATGGAAGAAGAACAAGGTAGAATATGTGCAAAGGAAAAAATGAGATAACTTGGGTTAGTCACTTGCAGATATTTTTTGGATGCCTATGAATTTTAGGTTGGTTGTTATGCTAAGCCCCCCATCCCTTACATCTTCCCAAAAGGTTGATCTTAAAAATTAATTTTAAAAAAATTATTTGGTAAAACATTAGAAAGTTATAATTAACAAAAAACTAGCTATATGCATTAGATGATATATTCTCGTTGAATTCAAAAGAATTGGGTAACTGACCTTATTTGCTCACAAAAGTTCTCATCCTTCTTGATCAATCTTTGAACTGTACGCAAGAGCAAACATATCCAACAACAAGAGTCAACCATGCCCAAACTCCTCCTACTAAGGATCGTAAGAATGTGGAAAACTAAAAATATGATAGGAAATATACTTTTTATAATTTGACAAAATTGAACCCATTCCTTCAATTTTTGTCAAATTAAAGAATATAATGTAGCAATTTCTTATGACTGTCATGAAATATTTTTTCTTAATAATTTTTATGAAAAAATTTATCATGTGAATCGTAACAATGTTAGACGCTTAAATTGTAAGGGATGTGGTACATTTTATAATTTAACAAAATTGAAGGAATGGGTTCAATTTTGTCAAATTATATAATATATCACATCTCTTATAATTTTTAGTGTTTGACATTGTTATGATGACCATGAAAATGTCTTCCTAATATTTAATATTAATAACAAAGAAAAAAAAAAAAACCCAACCATCATCTTCTGTAATATAGAGCAGAAACACTAAAACACTCCCTTTGAAATTGTGGTGAACAAGTCAGAATTTTATATATTTAAAAGAAGCAGAAACAAGGAGATAGCACCTCTCAGTAAAGTCCAACTTTCGCTCTTCTGAAAGCAGACACAAGGAGATAATTTAAAAATGCACAAAACCTACTTGTAGAGCAAGAGCCTTTTGTTCATCAAAGCTTTATCAGTCTCCGGCACATGTTTCATTCTCAAAGAAACATTCATCCAAGCAGGTGTAGTTATCTCCATTAAATCCTGAAAATACGAAAAGAAAAAAAAAAAAAAAAAATTGTTACTTACATTTCAAGACTACTGCAAAGCAAGGAAGCATTGTTATAGTAGAAACTAATGATAAAAAGTTGGGTCATGAACAAAAATAATCTCTCCTTAGAGGTAGTCTGTTTGTGCTTGACTCTAATGTTACAATGTTAATTGTTTTCTTCTTAATAATGACAGGAAAATTGCTGATTGGATCACAATTTGTTACTGGACCATAGAATCAATCATTTCCTCTTCCTTCCCAAGTTGACATAGTCATCCATTGATGATTGTTTCTGCTTCTTTGTTGAAGTAGGAGGGCTCTCTGCAGCCTGCCTTGCTGGCGCCCGCTTTGATGGCATATTCGTCTGCGTTTTGAGAAGGGAAACACAACATAAGATAAGATAAGTAGGATCATAAACATCACAAAGTAAACTAGTGTGTAGTGCACAATATCCAACCCAACCTTGGCAAGTTTCTTTTCCTTGCGGGTTTGCCTCTCCCTCTCATCAAATTATTGGTTTTCCTTCTCAATTAGCCGAATAAGTGTATCACATCTCCTTGCCAATTCCTGGGCAGTTCGAGACTTGACGAACCAATCAAAACGAAACAAAGTTGATGTGTGGAAAGCTGCTTTCAAGTCATCCCAGTTTCCATACCCTATCTTGTGAACCATGCACACCTGGGGGTTGAGTTGGGTGGGGGAGGTAAACATCATCAATTAAAATTATCCAACAGTATTTCAATATGGAACAACAACATACCTTTGGGAACATAAAACTTACCATAAAACAATCGCATTCCTCATTGTAAAACTTGCCCTTGTTCTGACCATATTGGATTTTTAACTCCAACCATGGGTTCTTGTAACGATCCAATTTTTTCCCAATTGCTTTCATGATCTCATCTCTCGGGGAAATTCTGGCCTCTCCTCTCTCAATGTTCTTGATGATCCTATCATAATCTGGGGGAAATGTAGACATTAAATCAAGACTTGAACGAACTAGTGTGTCAGAAACACATATACTAAACCAGGATTAAACAGATTCTTTTACCATTTAATTCTTTGTATCTCTCTTAGAAAACTTTAGCATATCTTTCAACTTCCTCCTCTGTTTTCCCTTAAATTTCCGTAGCAATACATTTTATATCATTACGGCCATATTTCTCACAGGCCCTGATGAAAGTATTGAAGTCTCTTCTGCTCCATGTTGAAAATCCATACACAAAACAAGTGTCCCAAATCAGCTGGTGGGAACACAACTTTAATTCAATCATCAAATATGAATTCACTTGCCTGTTCCAAGAGGCGTTCTTTTTCTTCCTGTTCTTCAGCAGTCAAAGGTTCTCCCACATCTGGGCAAGAAATCATTGGTTAGGAAACAAAGGACTGGTGGTTAACATATATACCTTATTTTGTTAAACATACCTTCTGCTTCCTCCATATCTATTGTGTCTTTCAATTGGTTCTTCTGATGTGTTTGCTGCAATCAACAAACATAAATGAGTCAGCATGGCAAAGAGGGAGTGAGGTGGGCATTAAGTAGTTAACTGAAATGGAGAGAAGAACCATGACCCCACCATGAGGTAGCAAACTTCTGGAAAGAACTTCCTGATGATTTCTTTCATGACCAGCAGGTTTAATATAGAAAAATCAGAAACCAACAGGGTAGTCAGCTTGAGCTAACTTGGGGGTGGTTTGACAAAAATATGATCAGGATCTGCCATTAATATGTACCTGCCAAGAGGGGGTCATGCAAATAAACTTAATGAAAAGAATACCAGAGAAAGCTAACTTGGATAAATGTTGATAGTGATAGCAAAACAATTCTGCTGGACAAATTTGATTTGTGTCATAGATAGCAGGGGACAACACATAGATAAGAATAACTGTGCAGAAGCAAACATATTTCATGCAATTTAAACCAAAAAGAACAAACAAGGTAAGGACTAAGGATAGGTCAAGATGGTTTTGTCTGACCTGATCTAGCACTTCTGGAAGAGGATCAACCACGATGGTATCTAAGCAACCAAAGAGAAATAACAATTTTCCTTTCTTGGAAGGGCTTTCATCTCACTTCGGCATCTAATCAACAGGCCGGATCAGACTATCCAAACCACCAGGGATCTATTTCACATAACCAAAGACATTTTGTAGTGAATAATCACTGTGATCAAATTATAAGTTGCACGCAAGGAAAAATCCATAGTGACAGAAGAAACAGCACTATCGGTGTTGCATGTCCAATAATTTTCTTTCAAATCATGATTATATATTACAGAGTATTATGTGACGGATTTCAAAACTGAATTTAAAATACTTGATACAAAATTAACAAACAATAATAGAATGCTTCTTCAATTATTGCTTCCATCCCCTTTGCCAGAATATATACGCAGAAAAAAGTTCAAAAACATAGAAGAAATAGAAAATGCTTGAGAAAGATGAACTCAGTAAGGTCAACTATAGATTAAACTAGAAATGAAATCATCTGATAAAAACATTCAGAAAATTTTCTATGGCATTCAACACCACACACAATCACCAAAAGCTATTAACTTTCAGGAAAATGCAGTAAAAACCTGTACCGAGATTGTTGGATTCTCGAGTGGAAACAGAGAGAGCTTCCTTCAATGCCATTTTCTGGGCCTTCTTCATCCTTTTCTTCTTATTGTTCAGGAGACTCATGAACATTAACTTGGTTCTACGTTTAAAAGGGTGAAAGCCTATTTATTGATTTTTTCTGTTCAAGATTACCGTTACTGAAAGTTCCTGGTAGCTTCCTATCCTTTCCAAATATCTAAATTTTAAAAATCTTAAAATTCAAAATAAAAATACGCCTGGGTTAATCCATTATTATGAATATTTGACACTAATTAAGATAATTGTAGACTAGCATTTTCTAATAATAATAATAATAATAATAATAATAATAATAATAATAATAATAATAATAATAATAATAATAATAATGTAAATTTTAGTTGTATGGTATTTTTACAAATGCATACAATTACAGTGGGAGAAAAACTTGGATGAAGGAGTAACTATTTCTCCTTAATATATAGAGAGAAAGGGCATGCAATTAGAAGTTCGAGGGAGGTTAGTATGCGGATTGGAATTTGGATACAATCGTGTATCTACATTTTGCTAGAAAATGCATTTTAATTATCACATGATTGTGAAAAAGTTGAGTTGAAGGGCAAATATCATTAATGAGAATGCTCTAACTAAATGTTTACAAAATGTGCTCTATATTAATGTAATTCACTAAAATTATCGTGTACACCACTAATGGGTTGTTTGATTCACGGAATAGGTCTGGCATAGCATTTTCAGTAATAGGCATATTCCTCTGTTTGGTACCACTTGTATTCTCAGGAACATTGTTTCCGAGAATGACATGTTCCCCTTGCAAGGGGAGAGATTCTTGGGGGTCCACTAGTATTAGGTTATTCCTGAGTTATCAGGAATAGTCTAAAGTTTCTATTTCTTATTTTACCCTCCAATTAAATGTTTTTCCTATTTCACCATCGCCACCGTCGCCACCTCCACCGCCGCCGCCACTACCCCACCACTGCCACCGCCACCATCGCCACCATCACATATTTTTATAAAGGTATTTATGTCTTTTAAAACATATTCCATTTCTATTCCTTAAATCAATCAAACACTGTAATATAATTCCTAAAGTCTATTCCTTCCACGAACCAAACAATAGAATACAATTCTTATTATATTCTTTGTCTATTCCATTCCTTTTAGAATAGCATTCCTATTACCTCAAAATTCACTCCGTGAACTAAACGTGCTGTGTTAGTAATCTTAATGTGCAACGCTTAGAGAATCACCGGAAAATCATAAGCATTCCAAGCCTTTAACATTTTGTGTAAGTACAAAAAAATAGAAAATGATTCTATTATTAAAGTTATGAAAAATAAGAAGTGGCCATGGGAGAGAATTTAATAACTTTTAAATGAATATTTTTATTAAGAGGAAGAATGGAACATTGCAAGAGATGGCCCGTGTAATGATTAACTCAAGGAAACTACTTCAACATTTATGGGCTAAAGTAATGCATACAACTTGTCCAACTATCAACCGAGTAAGTCTACTTTAGGTTAGGTACTAATAAGAATCTCTACGAAATATGGAGATGAAGGAAGCCAAATGTAGTACTATCTTGGCAAGCTCATGGTTCGACTGGGGCTTGGGTCTTGTAGTCTTGTCGATTTGGCAAGGGCATTGGCTTACGGATTAGTGTGACACAACTAAGTTTAGACGTGTTATTGCGAAACGCCATGGTTTAACCAAGGGCACAACCTTGGGCTAAAGTTGGTTTCTTTTCGGTTGAGCTATTGAGATGTTCCATACAGTTAAGCGGTTTCGTGTAGATGCAGAGCAGTTTGGTTCGGCTAGGCAGTTCGTTCCTTGGTTTTGAGGAATGGCCCTAGCAGTTTGTCTCATGTGAGGGTGTCGTTGACTTGTTGATAGTGGCCTTCTTTTGTGGACGATTTTTGCAAGGTGTCAACTCGTTATTAGATTGGCTTAGCTATGCAATTGGATTGTAACTGCCCCATTATCTTTTAAATAACACTCGATTCCTTGTAGTCTTGGAGAGAAGCAAAGGCTATGAGTGGATTGCAAGTTAGTTTTGTGTTGTAACGCTCTTAGTTTAGAGTGTTGTGAGGATCTTGTGTACTGTTTTGGTTTTTGAATATACAAGGTTGAGAGGGTTAATTAGTTAGTAAAATCATGTCTTCCTTTTGTTGATTTGCCTAGCTAGTGTAGGTGGGGGGGGGGGGGGGGTTCTTCGTTTTTAAAGGTAGATCGTGTTGGTATGAATGTTGAGCAAATTCAAACCATAATAGTTGGCATCATAGCCTAGTTCAGCTCAAGTTGGGACCCACGGCTCAAGATGATGAGCACGTATCGGAATGGCCAAGATGACGAAAACTCCACGAATGCACTTGGTGGCAAACGGTGCGGGTGATCCTCGGGACGAGGCAGAAACCTATGTGAAAGGGATTGGCACAATGGCAGATAACCTTAATGGGAAATTACTTATCGGTTCATCAATTTCAAAGCTTTGGAGACTTACATATAAACACTACACGATGCGGCTCGATAGGACATCGAATGTTATTGAGGGAGGAAAATGCATCACTCAAACTCGGTGTGGACTTTTTGAAACAAGTCGTGATCAGTGAGCACAAGGTCGTAGATGGATCGAGTGATGGATTTATGGTGCCAAAACCGAGCTTGAAAATTTCCTATGTGATGTGAAAGAATACTACTTTCAAGTTATCAGTGTGCCTGACAATGAGAAAAAAGTAATGACTAGAATGTACTTGTTTGGTGACACGAAGCTATGTTATGTTCGCATGTGATTGATGCCGTCAGTGCTGGGTGAGAAAAGATTGAGTCGTGGGATTGGCTCGAGAAGGATCCTACAGGGCAATATGAGTTGGCTTGCACAGGAGTCCTTTAAGAAACTGACTTATTTGGGGACGTTGAGGATTACGGTTGTTATATCATGCACCACGTTGCATGATCAATCATGCATCGCGCGTCAGACACTACAGTGTGTCTAAACCGACACTGTCTCACGTATTATTTTTATATTATCAAATGAAAATACAGTTATATCAAAATGATATTGTAGTTGTTGTGAAATGAAACTACAGTATATATAAAACGAAACTGAATAATATTTCACATATTTGAGTGTATATTGTACAATGAAGCGGTAATTATATTGAAATGATCATATAGTTGTGTTTTAATGAAATTATAGTGTATATAAAATAAAATTAAATACTCCGTAACATTTTCACATATTTGAGTGTATAAATATTGAATGAAACTGTAATTATATCGAAATGAAACTGTAGTTGTGTTGAACTGAAACTGCAGTGTATACAAATTGAAACTGAAGAACAGAGTAATTTTTTGCGAAGATTTTGTTTCTTTTCATTAAATAAAATGACGTCGTTTTGACAGTGTCGGTTTAGACACACTGTAGTGTCTGACGCGCGGTGCATGATTGATCATGTACCGTGGTGCATGATATAATTTGCCTGAGGATTATGTGAAGGCTTGATCTTTGACTCATGTTGGATATTCAGAACAAGAGAAAGGGCATGTCAAGGCTCTAGCCATGGGCTTAGGCTGAGTCAAGGCGCCAAGGCGGTAGGTAGGGATGTCCATTGGGTCAACCTGTTGGGTTTTGGGCTTATCGACTTGGGCTAAATGGTCTTTAATTGTTTTTTTTCTTTTTGAGTTGCATTGGCCCTAGCCCAAAACTACGGGCTATTGGGCTAATCTAGCGGATTGAATCACTAAACAAAAATTTAAAAATAATAGTGAGTATCTACGTTTGGTGGAGCGGGATGAATTTTGAAAAAAAATCTACCTACCACGTCAACGAGTTGGAATGGGATAATCTTAATAAAATTATGTCTAATATATATATATATATATATATATATATATATATATATATATATATATATTTATTTATTTATTTATTTAACATTAAATTGTATATAAAATCTACATTTATGTTTACATGACTAATAGTTTGAATAGTTTAGTTGGTTGAATTCT